CAAACACTGCTGTTGTGCTTGTCTACACAGGTGTAGTTAATGGTAGATTCCACATCTCTTTAATATATGGACAGATTGCTATTATGTGCCAAAATATTAGCATAGGATTGAGTACGTGTGAAAAAGAAGAATTAAGAAGAAACCTTCTTCAAAACCAGACAGCTATTTTTACAGATTGTGTAAAAATAGTGCATATTGCCACAACTTCCTCAAAAATATATCTTATTTTGATTTCAGTAGAATCGTTCCTATCATAAACGTAAACACACGTTTTCTATAATTACAGACTCTTGACTTAAAAGTAAAAAAATCTACTATGTCATTTGTCCACAGAAATTCCGACAATATTACGAAAACACGCGAGAGCGTCTATCTATCTATCTATCTATCTATCTATCTATCTATCTATCTGTCTGTCTGTCTGTCTGTCTGTCTGTCTGTCTGTCTGTCTGTCTGTCTGTCTGTCTGTCTGTCTGTCTGTCTGTCTATCTATCTATCTATCTATCTATCTATCTATCTATCTATCTATCTATCTATCTATCTATCTATCTATCTATCTATCTATCTATCGCAGTTAACCTAAGACCGTCTAATAAGCCCAACGAAATAAACATTAACATTAACCATTCATATATAAAGACACCAGGTATATTTACTATTTAGATTTTATAAAATCAAGGAAAAATGCTCAGCAATTTCGATTGTTTTAAAATGCTTGATCTAAATGAAACGCATCAACGGCGGAACATGATGACACGGGCAGATCTCAAAGTTATATCCCTAGATCCCTAATAAATCTGTTTTAAATCGATAGTTAATTAAGTTTGTGAGTAAAAATGAACAAAGTTGTTTCATAAAAAGAAAACCCAAATGCACCAACGTTTAGTAAATATCTGAATCTTCAAGAGATACACAAAGAGCCTCTGAAGAGTTTTACTGAAGCGATGCTTTTTACGCACGAGTACACGGCCATGTGAACGTGCGCTCCTTGTTTTTAAATAGCATATTTTTAGGCGATATCACGTGGGAGGTGGGACTCATCACCAAAAACTATATAAACCTCCAAAGTTTTAAGCCTGATGTTCAAACTGTAAAACACACTTTCAAGATGAATACGCTCCAAACTCCGAGGTTAGGTAAGATTGGCACATCTTTGCAGAGCGTTTTTTTTTTTATTTTTTTACTAATATGATAAAATGATTAATATGAGAAATGTATTTTGTTTCAGCTTGCCTGATTTATATTCTGTTCTTCATATTTGCTTACAGTAAGTATCTGTTCATTATAAATTGCCTGATCTTCAGTAAGAGATATAGTGTGCTTAATATCTATTCATCTATCAAATTCAGTCTTAGGTTTTTGCGTCTCATTTTTAACTCCTTTCGTTTCAGTTTAAAAGTCATATCTCCATCTTGTTGTTTAACATTTAATTATCTGTACAAAAACAGAGGGAATACGAATGAGAGTATGCTGGTACCTTTCAGTCAGCCAACATCCTACGTGCTACACTGTAAAAAAAGACCGTGAAATTTACATAAAAGCTATGTAAAATCCCGACAGAATAGGTTTGTAAACCCCAAAACACATATTTTTTGTTTAAATCACAGCGAGCCTTTGTAAACTATTAAACAGAAGATTTTTGTGATATTTACAGCAACATTGCGTGATAATAATCAAATTTATTTGTTAAAGCTAAAAACATTGATAATTTAAACAAAGAAATAGTGTAATACTCATGTCAAAACAATTTTGTTAATTTAACATGCAAATGTTGTAAAAATGTTGTTTCATGCCATTATTACATAGAGCTCTATTGTGACCAGCTACATTTACACAAAAAATATTTTTCAAAGTAATTCACATGGTTTTAAAATACGGAAGAGGATTAAGGCCACTGGGAAAAAAAAAAGTTAACTGATTTTTTTTATTTCTTTCAGTATAGTATGGGGAAAAAGTCAGAATTCTGACTTTAATCTCTGAATTCTGACTTTTTTTCTCAGAATTCTGACTTTTTTTATTGTCAGAATTCAGTCAGAATTCTGAGTTTAAAGTCAGAATTCTGAGATTAAAGTCAGAATACTAAATTAAAATAAAATTTTAAAATCAGTAAACTTTTTTTTTCAGTGGCCATAATCCTCTTCCGTACCAGATGTAATAAAAATGTCCTCTGAAAAAAATATTTGTAAATCTGACATTAAAGATTTAGTTTAAGTTCTGAATAATTTCAGTCATTGCAGAAAGCCGACACTCCCTGAACGCACCGATCAAACAGTTCAACCTTGGCAGTTGATTTGAGCGGGTTCTGGCGGGATATTTGGGCGGTCGACGGACTTTGGGCAGGATCCCTCTTTTTTAGCTTTATTTTTGGACGCAGAAGAGACTGTTTTCAAGTTCGAAATGCTCATCCCTGATTGGATAGCAGAAGAAGCTGTTGGCCTCCGAGCTGGCCAGAGCTAAGCGGTCTTCGGAGCAGAGACTACAGGAGCGGATCAATCTTTGGATCATTTTGGCTGTTTAAAGAGGAACATTTTACGATTTAACATATATTTTGAGGATCTTTGGCTGTTCATTTCAACCAGAAAATCAAGAGTTTACACGGTAAGATTCAAACGTCCTTCTTTTTCTTTCTTACTTTTTTGAGCATGCGAAAATCTCTACAGATAAACACAAGGTATATGCTAGTAGTTGATATTTTAGTCCACTCAGAATCCTAAAATGATCACCTGCGTTTTCTGCAAGAAGAAATTGGACACGTTGAGGGGTTATATACTACACTGCAGAGTGCATAGAAATTAGCCTCGTTGTTTATTTAAATGTGTTGGTGCTAACTGTAGCCAAACTTTTACGACTTACACAGCTTTCAAGGGCCATTTTTATCGTCTGCACAATGTCCCTGCACCGCAGGCTGCTGCAAAAGCTGTTGTTACCGATTTAAAATGTGCAGTTTTGTTATGTGCCCGCCATTTTCACACAGTGAAAGACCTCATGTCTCACTTAACCCTATAATGCCAAATGTATCATATTTGATACATACGGTTTCTAAAATGTTTTTACGGAAGAGGATTAGGGCCACTGAAAAAAAAAAAAAGTTACTAGATTTTTTAATTTTATTTCAGTTTAACATGGGGAAAAAAGTCAGAATTCTGACTTTTTTCTAGGAATTCTGACTGAATTCTAACAATAAAAAAAGTCTGAATTCTGAGACTAAAGTCAGAATTCTGACTTTTTTCTCATACTAAACTGAAATAAAATTTAAAAATCAGTTAACTTATTTTTTTTTCCACTGTCCCTAATCCTCCTCCGTATTGTTTTGCATCTGACACCTTTTGCATAATTTAATGGTAAAAACTTTGCTCAAAATCCTATTGTACACAATCAGATATACCTGATAACAGAGGGCAGAAGACTACACAAAAATTTATCTTGACTTATTGCATAGTAATAAATTATTAATATCAAAAATGTATTTCTGTTTTTTCTTTTTACATATTTTGTTAAAAGGGCAAATAAGGACTTCAAACCAAAAAAAAGTAATTTTCTGTTTTGTTTTATTCTTGGATTGGGCTTTAAAGGGTTAAGTGATCACATCGGAGAGGGCAGGTCTGTGTCATGTCCAGTCCGTGGATGTCCTGATGGATCTGTGTATGTGCTGATGGATATCCATAAAGGTGTCTTCCTCTCAGAATACCACCTGTATTCTGTGACAAAAGACAGTCTTGGGTTGCACTGTGTTAACATTAATGACTTGCCCGATTTCTATCCTTTGGTATCGTACATTCTCGATGGATACCAAGTCATTCCCCTGAAACACAGTATTGTGGCAAAATAAAGCCCATTGTAGCTTGTTTACCTCTGACTGTAAATAGTTTGACATTAAATGTTACATGATGTCCCTGTTCTGTTAAGTATATGTAATATTTTGCATTATTTTTCTGTTCTGTTTGAAGGTGCCATTTCTTCATGACAAATATGAGTGACTCAGGGCAAACCTTCCTAGATGTCGCAATCATGGAGGTCCTACCAGAACTTCCAGCAGTAAACAAAAACATCCTGGTGGAACACTTGCAGTCCATCGGAGTTGAGATGTATGATGATCTACGCTTCGTAACAGAGGCTGATTTGATGACAGCATTAAGACCTGTTCAAGCCAGAAAGCTTCTTTCTGCTTGGAAAATGAAATGTAAGTAGAAACTCTACATATGTTTCAACACATAAAAATATTTAGTATTCAAAAGTAGACATTGACATTGTGAAATATAGTTCATTTTGCATCATAAAATATGTATATATTTTTTCTCTTTTAAAGACCAAACTCCTGAGAACAGCTCACCCTCATCTGTAGACGCCTTACCTACCCAATCACTGTCATCGCTCTCGGTTTCACCCGGAAGTACATCATCTGCAAGCAGCCGAGAACTTGACACACAGTGGAACGACAACTTTGAAATTCCTTGGAGGAAATTTCCTGAAGAGGTGATGCATGCTTTGGAGAGGGGGAAAAGGCTTGGCTCAAAACTGAGGAGGCAAATGGTCCGGATTATCGTGGCGGACATGATGGAAAAATGCCCTCATGTAGGTAAAAAGCACTCCACTGATGTAGCCAAAAAAATGGTTGCAAAATATCCCAGTTCCCTGCAAGATGTAATAGATGGGGATATTGTTGGGGCAGGCTACCATTCCCTTGTCAAACAGTTGCAGAACAGAATTGAGAATGTTAGGCGCACTTCAACACCCAAAATTAGAAAAAGAAAACATCAGACTGAAGAGTCAGACGACACAGATGAGATCCCATTACAAGAAAGAGCAGCAATGCAAGATACGTACGGGTGCATCAAATGGAATGTAAAATTTCTGCCCCGTGAAGAAACTGAAGAGAGCCAGCAGCTAAAGATGGAAAAACTCAAAGTGATGTTCCAACACTCTGATGACAATCCAGAGGAGGTAAAACGTCTGGTGAAGTCCACTTTTTACACACAGCGCCGACATGTCAACCAGGGAAAAAGCATCAAGTGGCTTAGAAAGGAGTGGCCATTTTGTTTTGATGAACTTGGCATGTCAGTTCATTTCAAGGAACTGACTGGGATTGACCTCAAAGAGACATTCACACGAAATTTGGATTTGAAAGGGCAAAGGCTTCTGAACTATATGACCACGGTTTGTGTCAACAAGAGCAAGAAGTTCCTTCAGACTTACACAAGACTTCAGAGGATGCGGGGACCGCAGAGTGGCTGCTCGGATGACCTGAAAGAGATGATCCTGCTTCTGTTCAGCTACTTTGATGAGAAGGAGGAGTCCATGTTCTTCTGTGTGGAGGATACATGTCTGGCAGAGGAGGTGCAACTGGAGCAAGTGCCTCTGACACCCACCATTATTGTCTGTGGTAAGCTCATCTTTTTTTCTTTCTTTTTTATAGCACTGCTTATAGAATTTGTCTTGAGTGCAGCATTTATTAACACAACCTTTTTTTTTTTTTAAATGATCTATTCACAGGACAGTCCTGCTTTTCATCAAGAAGATACATGCTGAGTCTGGACCGGAACCTCATCAACACAAACATCTCATCCTTCATCTCTGCATTGTGCCTCATGTTTGGGAGCTACTACTGTTTTAACATCCACTACCCATCTGAGCTGGCTTCCACCCTTGAGTTTCTTCAAAGGTGGGTAAATGGTTCTCTTCCTCCTTCATCACACTCTCTTCTATCACACTCTTCCTTCTTTCTCACACTCTTCCTTCTTTATCACACTCGTCCTCCTTCATCACACTCTCTTCTATCACACTCTTCCTTCTTTCTCACACTCTTCCTTCTTTATCACACTCGTCCTCCTTCATCACACTCTCTTCTATCACACTCTTCCTCCTTCATCACACATATCCTCTCAATCAAATTCAGGTTGGCTGCATGTGTGCCATATCTGATGTGAGATGGAGACATTTTATTGTAATTCCTTTGGGAGATAGTAGATCAATTGTGGGAACCAAAAAAGTTCAGAGAGTTGGTAGGACTGGTGTTAACTGATCAATTAAATGGTTTTATATGCTTCTCTTCTGCAGGTGTTTCTTCTCGATAAACCCGGAAAAAGGAACCAAAGTGGAGAACAAAAACTCAAAGCGCCATCTCAGCGTGAACCCCCGAGTCCTTACCTTGATACAGGAACTCGCCGATCACGAGTGGTGTGAAACCTAAACATGGACATATTCAGGCCAGGGACTGTTTGTATGAAAAGAGGTACTGTATATTTCCACACTGTTGAAAGCACAATGCGTGTCATGGTAAGGACAGCACAATGTTTGTTTGTTTTGTTTTTTTGGTTATCCAAAGTTTTGTGTTAAACACACAATGCTTGTCATGGTAATGACAGCACAATATGTTTGGGGTTTTCTTGGTGTTTTGTAAGTGCGCTAAGTAACTTTTGTTTTTCAATGACAATATTTCAAATGTTAGCAGTTCTTTAATGAAAGCCTCAAACTGATTTTGTCGTTTTCCAGTTTGCACTATGTCAACTAAGGCACTGTATCCTTGTTTTGTTTTGAGGTCTAAATGTGCATTATGCAGCTTTCTGGTCTATTAACAACTTTTTTCTTGAAGATAATCCTCCTGCAGGAATGTTCCACAGGTTCCTGTAAAACTATCTTGCTTTTCTTCAGTTAGAAGTGAAGGATTTCACCACAGATTTGAATTCTAGTTTTATGCAACAAAAAATTTTAAGTGTCATAAACATGTCTACATTTAACATGTATGTTGATGTTAACTAAAAATGCATCACTTGTTAACTTTTGATGCTGGCTGTTCAATAAATCTTCCAAAGAGCAATGTCTTACCTATTTTTTTTTTTCTGAAGATGCATTTTTGCATGTTTTCGTGTAGGTTATTTTGCAGGTTTACAAGTAAATTTTACAATATAACTTTATTATGAAAACATAAATATACAGTATGTTATGTGTAGATTTTATGTGTAAAATACAGAGATTTCCTTTTGAAATGCATAGTTTAAATGGTGATTTGTTTAGTATTTTCCTGTTAATTTAACCATTTATTAATGTAAAATAAGCAATTATTAGTCATAAACAAAACAGGAAATAGGCCATTTTTATACAGCACAATTATGCAAAATTAACACTTTTTTTTTGTTAATGTAACATTTTTTAAGTGGAATTCAGATGTGATTTCACTCACTGTAAATCATTTTACATACATGAGCTGTTAATTTGTCTACTGTACTGCTGTATTTTTTACAGGAATTCTCTGGTAACCACAGCTGCCAGCGTTTTCCTGTAAAAACGACAGCTTTTTTTTTACAGTGTATGCACGATGACTACATCAGCAGCAGGGATGCTGATCTGGATGAGGGAAGGCAGAACATATTAATGTGCCTCTAGACCTACATGGTATTTATATACCCTTTAAAAATAGTTCAGGCTGAGATTTGAAACGTCTGAGCATGTCTTGTAATATTCCGGAGTCTCATGTAAATATTCAGCTGTACTGCTGCAGCTGGGTTCGTGGATACAGGAGAGATTAGCCTCATTTGGAGATTATATTTCACAACACGCCCGGGAGAAAGTCTCTCCAGAATATCAGGGCACACATACCAGCATAACTTAGGACATATTTAACTGATAACATTTCTGCTGCGTCTGATTGACATCAGAAGCATCCCGAAAATGCAGAATATATTATAATAGAAGTTCAGTGTGGAGATCTGGATGAGATCATGTCAACAGTAATTATAATTAAGGTTAATTTAGAGGGCATTTATCATGCTTTATTACTATCAATCTGTTGTGGGAATAAGTAAGGCGCCGTTAGGCATGTTACATCATAGCTACTGGTCCCTAATGGGAAAGCAGTTAGACACCTGACACAAAGACGAACTCTGTTTTCATTGTATGTTTCCCCCCTCCAGCATAAACGCACCAGATTTCCCTTAAGCTTCAGCCAGCCGTAACTTATGATGACGCAAAGTCAACAAGAATAAACCTGCCGAGAGACAGGGACATAGAAACAGAATGGATCAACAATAAAATGTTTTGTGGGTTGTTACCACAACTGATCAGTTGGGAGCCGTTTAATAGATAATACGTGTCTATTGAATCTGCGTCTTTTCATTAATTTCCCCTTCTTGATCTTCATTTTCCTTTGTCTGATCTGCAGGTTTAACAAACGCATAATCAAAGCTGATAATTCTGCTGTCTTGCTTATATGACATTGTAATTATTCCTACTTAGATCAGTTTTTACAACTTCCCTTATGAAGCACTGTAATCAGAGATGAATGAATAGTCTTGAGTGCTGTTTTTGTTTGGTTTTACTGCGGCTCCTGTTGCGCTCCTGTTGCGCTCCTGTTGCACTCCAGACCCACCGAGTGCGCAAACCCTGCGCGCGCTCTGCTCGGAGAAAAAGGTGCGACAGCTCAGCTCAAATGAGAGCGCAGCGCCAGTGGCATGGCTGGAAGCCCATGCAGCAGCCTTTTTGGATGAAGATCCTTATACACACACTGCAAAAAATGAAATCTCAATAGGTAATTTTTACTGAAAATAACTCATTTCTTTCTTGAATTGAGGAGGAAAGTGAGACACTTTGCCAATGGAACAAGACAATGAACATTTAATAAAAGAAGAAAACAGTAGCATTGTCTTATTTCAAGTGCATGATATGCAATTATCTTATTTTAAGAGTAAAAATACATATTCTATTGGCAAATCATCTTATTTACGTACTTAAATTAAGGGTAAATGTACTTGATTGATTTTTAATTATTTTTATTTTTTTACTTATTTCTATATTGTTTTTTACAGAAGGGCCACTAGAAAAAAAAACTGATTTTTTACATTTTATTTCAGTATAATATGAGAAAAAAGTTAGAATTCTGACTTTTTTCTCAAAATTCTGAATTTAATCTCAGAATTCTGACTGAATTCTGACAGCTAACAAACATGCTAGCATCAAGCCGTAGCCATGTCTGTTTTAAGGACTAAACTAACTCTCTGGTTTTAATCACCTTCCGCTCTTCCATTAATTAAATAGCATCACTGGGGACCCCTTGGGCATGTAATGTATTACTGGAACTCCCAGACAACTCACATCTTTGTCAGTGAAGCTGAGTGCTCCCACATCTCTTCCTTCTAGTGCCCATCTACATTAAGATCCAAAAGTCTGAGATTAAAGTCAGAATTCTGAGATTAAAGTCTGAATTGTGAGAAAAAACTCTGAATTCTGAGATTAAAGTCAGAATCGTGAGAAAAAAGTCAGAATTCTGAGATTTAAGTCAGAATTCTGATAAAAAAAATCAGAATTCTGTCTTTTTTCTTATACTGAAATATAATTTAAAAATCAGTTAACATTTTTTCAGTGGCCCTAATCCTTTTCTGTAGTTTTTGCAGTGTAAAGTTGTTTTAGTTGTTGTTTGTTTTTGTTTTTTTTATTAAAATCTGACTCAAAAGACTTTGAGTCATTCAAAGTTTGAAGGTAGTAACTATTCAACTGCAAGTTATAGTATAATTTGTATTTGTTTGTTGGTAGGGTCCGTCTCAGGAGACAATGAGGTCTTGAAAGATGTCTACAGTAACAGGTGAGCTGCTTACTTTTTTATGAGTGAATAGGCTATTTGTTTAGAACAGGAAGCGTATTTAATTTTCGGTCCATTGCAGCTTTAATGAGGTATAACACTGAAAATACATTCCTCCATGGAGAGTTCTTTATCCATTTACACTGTGAAAAAATAGTGCAACCATTTTGGCATTTAATTAATCATATTTAGTTACTTTAACACCACTGTTTCATGTTAGGAGGGTAGGACATAAAACAAATGTGTTAAAGTAAGTATATATGATTTAGTAAATGCCAAAAGCGGTTGCATTATTTTGGCAGAGTTACACGTCCTCGGGGCGACTTTTTACTGCAGCCGTCATCCAGGTTTTATGGTTTGCATGCGTGTGTGTCCCTTAGTTCATTGAGTTGTGAAACACAAAGATTGTTGGCAATAATATTGCTGGGTGAATCGTTTTTAAAGTGCTTGGAGGCATAGCTAGATAAGGGTTGCATAATCTTTCTCATCAAAGAAAGTGTGGGTGGATACATATGACAGACACTGTTGGCACCTCTTGCTGAAAGAGTGGTTAGCAACATATTTAACTGCTGATTTTATATCAGATGACTCAATTTTGAATTATCAACATATTATTCTATTTTCTAAAACATAGAATTAGGAAAGCATATATATTTGTAGTAACTTCTTTAAGCATATAAGTTTATGTTTTTCCCTTAGTATTTTTGAACCCCTGCCTTTTAAACTCATTGACACAAGTCAAGCTTTTCTGGATATCCCGTCTCAAGCTTGTACTTTCTTGTATAAACACAGTCATGTTTTTTGGCCACCATGTTTACACTCTCTTTTCACCTCTGCCCACACATTTCAAGGGTCACTATCTCAGTCCCCCTTACCATCCAAGTGTTTTACAGTAGAGATGATTTATCTAAGGCTGTGAAGTTTTCAGACTTTTGCTTCTAAATATAACAATAGTATTTATAGTTAAACACTTCAATCTTTGGTTTAATTAGATTACTGGTAATATCTTCAAAAAGCCTTTTTATGTTGTAAGGCTTCCTCCTTTTTGATTGGCTTTACTATCAATGTCAGTGTATGCATGATTTATTTTGGACCCATTACCTTCAGTGAGCATCTTCTAAATGCCTTTTGCTTTTCTTCTGAGTAAATTTGTTCGGAACCATGGACGTAATTCTGGGGGGGACAGGGGGGCATGTACCCTGCAGTTTTTCAAACACCTGTTTTGGTCCCCTGCAATTTTTACTGTCCAAAAACAATGTTACTCTACAGTACACAGACATCGTCAAGCACTAGGACCTAGCCAAAAACCACAGCTCAAACTGAAGCACGCTTTCCTGAGTTCAGACCGCCCACAAGCTCCTGATTGGCGCCCCGTCTTTTCTTGTGTGATTGGCTGTCATCGTTGTCACTCCTGAGAAGCTCACTTTACAAACATTTGATGAGTCACTAAAACGGATCTGTGATTGGATGGTAAAACACCCTGAAGTTAGTTCTAATAAAATATAACCTCCACCCCCCACTCCCAACACACACTTCTGAAATAAAAATGTCATCCATGACCAGGAAAAGGAACTCAACCCTTCCTAAACAGTATAATCCCTTTACTCTGTTTGTTTGTCGGTGCGCATGTGCGAAAAGCAGCATGCTGCAGTTACACCGCTCCAGTTTGCTTTTTAACTTTCT